ACATGCCAAATTATGCCATTATACATGAGCTCTCTTATTTATTTATTTATTTTTGCATTACAATTCTTAATATACCTTTATACCACAGTTTATCATATCTCTGTATATAAGATATGTTGACACCAAATTCACATCTTCATACATGTATTTTGTATCATGAATCTTGTTTACTTGCTTGGGATAGAAAATTAGGTAGAGTTGTGTGGCTGAACCTGCTCTAGTTATTTCACCTGTTCTGTCTGTGCTTGGATAGGGGAAAGGACCCATAGGAGAGATGAGATCAAGATGGAAGATTAGCCTTCTGTCCCAACCTTCCAGAAATATTTTGAGTAATAGGAAAGATGTATAATAGAAAATTTGATTTCACTTGGCTAGAAATTATAAGTATTCCTGAAAGTCAGTAGAAGAGAATTGAAGGTGGAAATCATTGCTCAAAATGTGGGCAGGAGGACCACGSAGGAGGTAATGATGGATTCGGGAGCACTCCAAGCTTAGTGGATGTGGTTACACAAGATCAGGGAAAGCCTGGGTAGCCATCGTGGTGAGGTCTGGAGTCTGTGAAATATATAGTGTCTTTCCCATAAAATCTTCTTAAAGTGGACATTAGCCAGARTCAGCTTTAAGAACTGTGCCTGATGCACTTAACATTTATAGGATAAACTATTTGTATTCATGGTGATATTTTTTATACTCCATTAGACCCAATTTTTTATGTTCCTACTCAATATTTTTCTTGAGACACTGGCATGGCTCTTGGACTAAATATCACTGCTCCCAAGGGAAGGTAGGTGCTGGATTGCTTGGCTATTCCTACTGACTGTCTCAAGAATGCTGGACATGGTAGTGCATGCCTGCAATCCCAGCAACTTGAGAGACTGAGGCAGGAGGATCATTAGTTTGAGGTCAAACTTAGCAAAGCTCTAAGCAACTTTGTGAAATCCTGTCTCAAGGCAAAAAGTTAAAAAAAAAAAAAAAGGTTCTAGAGATATAGCTCAGTGGCAAATGCCCCTGAATTCAAGCTTCAATATTCAAACATACAAACAAACAAACAAAAAAAACTGGAAAATATGGTTCAGAAGTCAGTCACTACTCCTGCTTTACACAGCTGATTCCACAGCTAGAAGTCTGTATTGCTGTGCTCTATCTACTATTGGACACTCCTCTGCCCTTGGGAGCTGCTGCCATGAATAAATTCTAAACTCTTTCTGTATCTTTGCATCACTTGTTGAGAAGCCAGAGTCCTTGGCTGAAACTAGGTCATGCACYGTGGTCTACTTTCAGGTCTTGAGGAGTCTGGTTCCAGCCTCTACCAAGACTCATACAGTRGGGGATTCTCTCCAAGTAGGGAGGAGAATTGATATTATATACCCAGAACAAAATAAACTAAAATGAGACCTTCTCTGTTGAGAATATTTGAACTCAGAAGCTCTTTTAATGTAACTCATAGATGAAAAGACAAAAATCATATAATGTTTTCACATTTCTGAGAATAATTTGCTAGAATTATCCCCCATTTTTGATTAAAAACCAGAAGAAGGAGGAGAGGAGGAGGAGGAGGAAGAGGGAACTTCTGTTTGATAGAGTATACGTAAGGGCCATGCAACAGCCAGTTAACTTAGTGATGAAATTTTAGAAGCCGTTCATTAAAACTGGGAAGAAGAGAAGCATGCCTATCCTCACAACTACCATCTATCCTTCAGCTGAGATACTAGCTAATGAAGGAAGAAAAGGGAAATAAATATGGGGAGGCATTTGAAAAGGAAGAACCATAACTCTTATTTGTAGAAATGTGATTATCTGAAAAGATACCATAGAGAAACCATTATAACTGTTGAGAGTTTAGCAAGATGGCTGGGAATAAGACTAATGTGGAAAAATTAGTTGCTTTCCAACACATTAGAAATAGCCAGTCAGAAAGTATAACAACAACGGAATTATAAAATACTTAGGAGTGGGCTGTGGCTGTGGCTCAGTGGTAGTGCACTTGCCTGGCATGAGTGAGGCACTGGATTCCATTCTCAGCACTTCATGTAAATAAAAAAATAAAGGTCTATCAACAACTAAAAATGCTATTAAAAATTCTTAGGAATAAGCATRTATGAGTTTTCCATCACTGTGTAACAGATTGCCACGTGCACAGCGGCTTAAGCATACCCCTGTTTATTATCTTTCTGTTCTGTAGGTTAGAGGTCCAGACTAACAAGGCTGGATTCTCTGCTCAAGGTCCCACAAAGACAAAGAAAAGAGTGTTGGTCTGCTGGTCTCTTATCTGAAGACTATGGGGAAGAATCTTCTCGCCCCTTTCAAGTTGTGGGCAGAATCCCATTTTGGTGATGGTGGTACTGAGTTCCCCTTTCCTTGTTGGCTGCTAGCTGCAGGCTACCCCTGCTACTTGGGACTGCTCAGATCATTTCTCAGATGTCCCCTTTCAATTTTAAGTGGCAAAGACTTTTGGCTCCTTCTCAAGCTTTGAATATTCTTGACTTTTCTTCTGCCTTCCCCTTCTGCCGGAGAAAGTGATTTATATTTTGGAGCCTATGTGATTAGATTAGGTACACTCTGGTAATCTATTTTAAGGGTTGCTGTGCAGTCATTCAGTGATAGCTAATCATATTCACAGGTTTCCAGAAATTGAGACAGGACATCTTTGGAGGGGAGTGGGCATTTGTAAATTTTGCCCGCCATGAAGTCTAAATAAAATTATATGAGACCTACATATTAAAAAAAATATAAAATTTTCTTGAAACATATAAAAGAAAACCATGTTGGATTTACTTGGTAAATATTGTATCATTCCCCTCTTCCAGCATTCATCCATTCTGTCAATCCAATTTAATTCCAGATTCCCAGCAGAATTGTTTATTAAATTGGCAAGCTGATTCTAAACTTCTAGTAGAGAAAAATGTCTAAGAACTGGCAAAGGCAATTTTGTAACAGAACAATGGATGTCAAATGAATGATATTAAACTAAATTCATTAAAATATTGGGGATGTTGTTCCGAATCTATGAGAGAGAATTGAGATTTAGTAAATGACAAAGTTGTTTTAAATCAAAAAATGGAAATGGTGGCCTTTTTAGTGAATGGTGGTACAGTTATCTATCCATTTGGAAATAAAGTTAGGCCCAGATCCCAAGCACAGAAATAATTTCCAGATGGGGTAAAGAGCTAAATATACCAAGTAAAATTGTGCAAGTATTAGAGGAACCAGGAGAATTTGCTCATAAACTTTGGAAATGCAATTGGCTACTAGTAAGTACACGAAAGAGCACTTACATTTATTAGAGTCAGGAAAATATAAATAAAAATACCCCCCATCTTTTTCTCAGATTGGAAAACAATTGTTCCATGCAAGTTTTGGCAAGGGAGGGGGAACATATATTCTCACTGTGTGAATTATAATGGTCTTCTTGGCAATGCCTGTCATAATTTTAAATATGTATATTCTTCAAATGAGTGATTTCACTTCCAGATTTTTACCTCAGAGAAATACACGTCCAAGAGCGCAAAGAGACATTTGCTAGATGTGGAATTGTTATTGTAGCAGAAGATGTCCAACCACCTGTCAAGAAAGGGCTTTTTGTTTTTAAATAAATTGTTTAGTGGATTTTGAAAAAGGGACCAATTAAATATAACCAGCATAATTTAGAGGAACACAAAATACCTAAGGAATTTTGTAACAAGAACTGTCTTCTTCAAGTATGTACTATTGTTACTTCATATCACTCATTTTATAATACATTTAATCAAAACATTTCCCTTCGGTTAACAATCCATTTTCTAAAAGCAGTATAGTATCGAGTGCTCACCCTGGGTGCATGAGCATGTAATGGTAATCAAAAGCCCCTACTTTATTGTCACAAAGCATGACTTGGAGGTTTTTCTTGCTACCCTGCTAGTGGTGGGGCACAAGAAAGGGAAGTTCTGACTGATCTGTGCCTGGGCAAAAGTGGATCATTTTCAAGATCAGTGTGGTGTGTGGAATAGTACTTGATGGTTAAGTGTTTCTTATATGTGTGAAAAACTGTTATTTAACATATAATAACAGTTTTTCACACATATAAAACTGTTTTGGTGCTGGGGATTGAACCCAGGTTCATGCATATGCAAGAACCTTGAAGCATCAGTGTGTGTATCAGGAGGGGAGASAAGATGGTTAACGTTTTAGGTAGGTGTCAGCATTTAAAAAGCAGCCAGAAGAGCTGGCACAGTGGCACACACCTGTAATCCCAGTGGCTTGGGAGGCTGAGGCAGGAGGATTGCAAGTTCAAAGCCAGCCTCAGCAAAAACAAGGCGCTAAGCAACTCAGGGAAACCCTGTCTCTAAATAAAATGCAAAATAGGGCTGGGGATGTGGCTTAGTGGTCAGAGTGCTTCTGAGTTCAATCTCCAGTATACCCCCCCCCACAAAAAAAAGCAGCCAGAAGAAATATTTACTTTATGTCTCTGCTTATGTGAAAGAGATCAAGTAAAATATTTTCACAAGGGCTTTTCAGAACATTAACTTTAGCAGCTTTAATCTAAGGGTTTATTATTGAGGATTCAAAAATAAAAGCTCTGGCTATTATTATTTCAATTTTATATATCTTCTGTATTTGATGCTTATGAGAGTAATGGTGAAAACTGCTTTTAAAAATGAAAAAAAAAATGTATGTTTTTTTAACCAAAGTGTTCTTTGATGAATTTATTAGATGTTCTTCATATCTTTATATTTAAATAATTTTGTCCAAAGATACTTTGTAATCCCACAAGAAAGAAGCTTATACTAATTTAACAGTCACTACTATGTAASAATTATTTTCTAAAGCAGCTTCTTTAATAAACTTTAAATTACATTTGTCTTTGTAATTGAGGTAAAACCTAAAGAGATACTGTGGTCTAATAAAATAGGTTCCATTGTGAAGGAAGCTCATAAAAGATGAGAACTGTGATTGTATCCTACTAAAACACAAGACAAGATACCTTGTGAAAAAAAAAATTGAACTGTGAATTATTTTTGCAGAAGTCAACAAAAGGTTCCATTGTCTTGGACCATGTCTTCCGTCACATAAACCTTGTGGAGATAGATTATTTTGGACTGCGTTATTGTGACAGAAGCCATCAGACGGTGAGTACAATGACTTCATATTAAATTTGTCTGCTTATGAATTGTGCTCTCTCTGGCCTTTTGGATGTGGCCCTAGATGGTTAGGTTMTTTGTAACGGAAAATGACTGATAACCACAAAACTGTTTTCCCTGGTAATTTCTTTACATTCTCCCACCCTTTTGGGCAAAAGTCTGAAGAGTTGCTGGACTCGTAGTTTCTTTGTGTGCAGTCCTCTTTGTAAATGGTTTATGTGGCTTCCATTTTTGCAACCATATTGAAGTGAAGTGCTTTCCATTTGTGCTATTAGGGGTATTATATAGGAAAAAAACTGTCTAATCTCTTGAAGGGACAGGTCTTTGAAGAAAGGAAATGGTTTAAGAAATACATACAGTACACAARTGTTAAAAAGGTGCCTATCTAAGTTTTAAAAGTGGTTTGAACTGTTATAGAATAAAAAAAGTAGGGGTTTTCATTCATGAGTTTGACAGAGGAATAGCTTTCTAGAAGTAAGAGTAATAAAGGCAATCTGGCTTTTGATTCAATGTCAGTTGTTCACATGGTTGACTTGGAAGATCTTCCTGTTTGGTCAGATGGTAGAGAGTTAGAAATTTGCCACAATGGAAAGATTTTAGAGGTGATGATTTTGGAGGATGAAAGGATATTCACTAATATGACTTTTGGTTTAGTCTAAGGAAAAATCTTAGCCTGAGATAGACACACTAGCATTATGCAAAATGCTCCTATGCTTACCTTAAAAATACCCGATTTGACTTGCCTTCTGTTTTTCGCCCTGTGCAACTATTGTTGKACTAAAGATTTCCTCCTCTTTCTTCATCAGTTTTCCCAGTCTCCACTAGGCCATTTGAGATGCATTCAGTGAAGAACCTGATTTTTTGAGTGGTATTTCTGTGCCCTACTCCAGGAATGTCCTAGGGTAAAAGGCAGGCAAATAGAATGCTGTTGATGGTGATAACTTGTGGTTTCTCATGAGCTAGTCTATTTAGTGTCACAGGAGGATTTAACAAAATAGGAGTAAAAAATGGGCATGTTGGGTAGAATGGTGTAGAAAGGAATAGCTTTCTAGAGGCAAGTGGTCATTAATGTGTACTTCAAAGAAAGGCAACAGACATGTTTAGAAGTTCACTGAATTCTGTCTCTGTAGCAGAGCTRTAAATCTATACTGAAAGATTAAATTGAAGCCAATAGAATGTACATTAAATTATATTCATATTTCATAAATAATATTTTCCCAGCAGAGAAAAAAGAGAAAAATACATTTTTCCTGATCTTAATCTAGTATGTCAGAACTTGCCTGGGAGGGTTAACTGCCTTGCTAAAATTGTATAGAACTTATTACCCTCTTTTTTTTCCCCAAAGAAAAACTGAAAAGTAAAGAGAATTGCAAACAATGGCTCTTACTGTTTCAAAAGAATTAATAGTGTTGATAGTTTATTGAAAGTTTTGTAGGGTTTATATTAAGTCCARTTTTTTTTCTGTTACCTTAACTCCTAAGGTTTGGCATCTGTGATAGTGTTTGTAATACAGGTTTTAGGAGAAAATGAAATTATATGCTTAGAAGGAGAAAATTATTAAGTCATGTTTTGATGTGATTAGAACATTGGCTATATAAATGACATGAAAAAGTACTCTTTGCTTTCTGAATTTGCATTTTCTATAGTGAACTTAGATAAAATAAAGGTAAACAAAAGGAAAATGATTTATAAGCATTGTTTAGTCTTGACATGTTCAAATGCATTGTCTGATTGCCTTATAGTACCTTGTAGGAGACTTTCAGAATACTGTCATGAAATTTTGTAAGTATTTCAGTATATTAGTAGGAGCAGCACTACATATACCATAGTTACTTAAAGCAAATAAAAAAAWTTTAAGAATATCCTTATGTTAGAAGAGTTGGGATATAATGAAACATACTTGTCTTAAAAACCAAGTAATGGTTTCCTGAATGTTGCTTGAATTACTGTGCATTAGATTTTTTTTTATATTGCTTTTCTTTTCTTATGCCCCAAGATTTATTTTTAAAGGGTAATGGGTATGTAATAATGCTCAGTAAAATGAATATCTCCATTAAGATCTACTTAGAGAAGACTTTGAGACCTGAAGATAGACCACTTAGGTCAATTCTGGGGGCACATAAAAGGAGAGAAAGTGGGAGAACCATGGATCAAAGGGAAGGAAGATAACTAGGAATGAAGAGTGCTTACATCAGTGAAAAACCCTGGGATCTTTCTCCTTTCCCTCTCCTGCCATTGGCAATGGATTGTGACTTGGAGCCATGTTGAAGTCCGACTTGGATTGAGGCCAGTGTCATCACAAGTGCCTTTACGTGTGAAAGAAGGCTGGAAAAGTAGAGAGGATGTAACAGTGGAAGCAGAGGTTGGAGCGGTGTAATTACTGCAGGGCACTTGAGCCAAGGAATGCAAGCAGCCTCTGGAAGCTGGAAAAGGGGAAGAAATGGATTCTACCYTAGAGCCTCTGGAGGATAGGCAGCCCTTACCTGCATTTTGATTTTAGCCTGTGGGTTTCATTGTGGACTTTTGACATCTAGATTGTAAGATAATTTCTGTTGTTTTAAGCCATCAAATTTATGATAATTTGTTATAGCAATGGGAAGAAACTAATACTCATGGATACAGTAGGGGAGAATCTTATCTTGCTTGCTCAGTGGGAATATAAAGCTGTATTATTTCAGAAAGAAACCTGAAACACTATTACTCTTCCTGAGTGATAATATTTCATGTCCTCTGATACAGATGATTAGGATTTCCTTGTGATTATAGCTGTGTGTGCTTCCCCAGATRTATGTGAGCAATATTAGTGGCTGCTTCAAGAGTATTTAGGTACCTTATTATGGGAGATGGATGGTGAGTTGAGTTGATGATAGGCAGAGAATTTAAATTGTAGCATAGACTCCTTCATTTTAAATAATTGGAAGAAACTTGAACCACCTTTTGGGTTTTCAGATTTTATTAGAAGTGGAAAGGCAGGAGAATCACAAGTCTGAGACCTGGGCAACTTAGTGAGACCCTGTTTCCAAATTAAAAGTTAAAAAAACGGGGCTAGAGATATAGCTCAGTGGTAGATTACCCCTGGCTCAATAACYAGTACAGAGAGAGGGGGAGAGAGCAAGCGCATGAGAGAATGTGATATGGTGGAACAGATTGCTGCCTTTAGAGTCACAAGGTAGATGTGAATCCTGTGTCTGCTCCTAATAAATGATCAAGTCACTTAATTTTTCTAAATCTCAATATCTCTATTAGTCATTTGTTTACCCACAGGTTTGGAGGTCCAAGAGGGTAGTGCTGGCATTGAATCAGCTATGGTGAGGGCCTCATAGCAGATAACTTTATAGTGGCAGGAGTRTGTGTACAAGAGGGAAAAATCACATGGGTAGACGAAAAGTAGGAGAGACTGTAGTGGGACAGAGCTGGCTCTTCTATAACAGTCCTCTTGAGAGAACTAACCAGGCTGCTGTGAGAGGAGCATCAATTCCTTCTGAGAGGAGTGCCCTCAGCAATYTAACTTGTTTTCACTAGATGCCACTTTTTAAAGGTTCTACACCACTTCCCAACACCACCACACTGAGAACCAAGCTCCCAACACATGAGCCTTTGAGGGACACATTCAGACCATATTCAAACCGTAGCAACCCATAGCAGCATCCTTATCTGTAAATTGAGAATAAAATGCCTATTTTCCCTAACTTTCAGAATTGATGTAAGACCAAATCAGAATGCATGAAAGCTTTGTAGATTATGAGGTGTTAAACATGTAAATGGTCTTTCTTTTTGACACTAGCCTAGGAGAAGATATTGCTGGTGATTTTTTTAAAAAGTACAATAGGGAGAGGAAGGAAACAGTCTGGAGGAGAAAAGAAAAAAAAAAGCAAATAAACCCCAGAGTCTTGAGATCACTTTTGGAAAATTTTAAAAATGAGTTTTGATGATTATTGGAAGCAATAGTAAGGATAAATGGGATATTCCAAAACTGCTTCTGGTTTTATAGTAGTAGGCATAATCATGTCTTACTTTAATATTAGCACTTGAGGCTCCTTTACAAATTACTCCTTCAAAGGCAGAAGTCATGTATAATTAGAGGTTTTCTCAGAAAATGGAACTCAGCATGGCTTTGAGAATCAGGCTGTGGCAACTGCTGCCCTTTGACTTCAGAAGTTAAAGAAGGGGGAATGCATGAAGCACACAGCTAAAGGCAGTATGTAATATCCTCTTTCCCCAGTGAACTCTTCCTTTGCTTCTCCAAGACAGTAAAAGCAATCAGAAGGGAACTTTACCTTCTGGACCAGCCTCCACCCCAAACATACTTAGTTGCTTCTTTCCATCTTTCTCTCTCTGGTCACAAGAGAAGAGTCCCAGGGCTTCTGACCTRGACCTTGTCACTCCTTGCTTTTTCTCTCTGGTAGCTCTAACTTCCCCTTCCTACCCACTYGTTGCCATCAGTGTTTGGGCATGTTCAAGTCTTTGCATTTAGATTCCTCTCCCTCTACTCCCGTGCCTTTCTCTTTTTATTGCCATTAGTTGACTCTGTCACACCTGAGCTCCAGATGCTTTGTCTAAATTCATTGCCCCTGTTTCTTAGATCTCACTCATTCCTAAATTTCTCACAGTTTAGTTTTGAGTCTTATTGTGTAATTGAAACTGCCACCTACCCCTTGCCTGAGAGACACTCTAGTCCTCATCTCACCTGACCTTTCTGTTACAGCATTGACACTAAAGAATCTTCTCATTTGTTCTTATGACACCACATTCTCCTTGCTTTGCTCTTTTCAAATTTTCTTCTACTCATTTCTGTTCAATCTCTTTCATAATCATATTCCCTCTGTCTATTCCACAAAATGGTAACGATTTACCAGGATTTTGTCTTATTCTCTTATGTTCTAACTCTGTATAGGCTCACATACTTAATGCTACCTCTTCTGGTACTACTATCTTTGAAATAGTCAATATCTTTTAAAAATATAAATTAAACTGTATATTTGTATTTT